CGGAAGCACCGAGAAAAAGATAGTTCCTCAGAGGACGAAGCGGCCGTTCGCCGAAAAATTCACAAGTTAAGGAGAAGACTACGTCGTCACAATAAAGATAATGGCGGAGGGGACAGCGAGTCGGATGATTATCTCGAAAGTTCGCGGTGTCCGTCGCCGTCGATTGTCCTCCCCTCGCCCTCACCATCGCCCTCGGCAGCGGGTGTAGCAGATTTTGTGTCCCAAGGAAGCGGCGCCAACTCTATTTTTAGCACTGAAGACGCTGATGCAGGTAAACATAAGCAACATTTACCTGTACATTCTTTTAGGACTACAATACTCGATGTCGTTCTTAAGCATTACTTGACACGTAATTACACTGCAATAGGAGATTGGTCTTGGGTCACGTCAAAGGCATAACCTATTTATGGTAATAGGTTATATTTACTCTAATTATGGTATTAGAGGCATCACACATCCTTTTTGGCCTACCTAATTTTGGCATTAGGTTATATTACTCTAATTATGGCATTAGAGGTAGTACACTGGATCACCTAATTATGATATTAGGAGATCGACATGCATTGTTCTGGAAACAGTTACGGAGCAGAAAACCGAAATGGTACTCTAATTATGTCATCGGAATATCATAGGCACACAGAACTATAATGTGAATAGTCGTGCTATTATAGCCCTTGTTGCTATTGTTTTCTCTATCGGGGAAAGAGATCTGTGAGTTGCCTCAAATACGATAGGCAATAAATAATTTGAGTTTCCTCTAACTTTGGTTAACAGCAGATTTACTGCTCTTGATTAGATTAGAAGGGTGATTTCTATTCTATCTACTTAGCTTATCCTTTGACAAGAACCTGACCGCATACATTTACATAATTACAATAAACTTGTAGACGCACTATTTCAATTATTTACTTTACGATAGGTTCGTCTCAAGAAGTGGCTCCGGCTCCCTCAAACCTAAATGAGGATGTTTTGGCTATATTGGGAAATACTCTTCCTGCACTGCCATTAAAGGGCCCCCCGATCCATCAAGATGTAGCTGCTAGATGGACGCTGTTATTACAAACAGGACTTTCGGATGAGGAGAGAGCTACAATATTACAAGATTATCCAACAGCGGAAAACTGCCCAGCTTCAGGAACCCCAAAACTAAACCCTGAAGTCACGAAAGCTTTGGGGGAACAAATCTGCCGCAGAGATACTAAGCTTGCTGCCACTCAAGACCGCATGGGGGGAGCCATTTCAGCTCTAGGAAAACTTCTGACCTTGCTTCTATCTGACAAGGAGGAGCAAAACTTATCTTACATCAAGCTTGCGAGTGATGCTTGCAAACTGCTTCTTGATTTACATTTCATTCAGTCAAAAACACGACGAGAGTTAGTAGCAATTAATCTGCGGAAGGACATTCGGGACACTTTGACATCCAGCACCTCAGATGGCTGGCTTTTTGGGGACAAACTGAGTGAGCGAGTCAAAGCTGCTAGAGACCTAGAAAAATCCAGTCTGGACTTAAAACAGACACAACACAAAAAACCGATTCTTAGAACCTCCGACCATTTAAACTACCAACGTCCACCTCGACAAATATTTCAAGGAGGAAACAAGGGTGGACGTGCACCAAAACAAACCAAGGAAGCCTCCTACCGACACAAAATTCACGACAGACGAACGAAATATCAAGACAAACAACCGGCCAGATACCGGAATCAACGACAACCAACTCAACATCGGAACCAACCTTACAAACGTTAACAAATGAGGTTAGTAAATCAGCAGGCCGACTGAAATATTTCCTTCCGGAATGGCAGGCACTTACCAACAATGTAAAAATCTTATCATGGATCAAAGGTGTGAAACTTCCTTTCATTGAGAAACAGTTCCAACTCTGTCAACCTTCAACACCAAAATGGTCTCACAAAGAGACAGTGTTGCTACACAAGGGTGTTTCTGAATTATTAGCATCTGGGGCAATTAGCAGAGTGAAGGCCTGTGTAGGTCAGCACATATCGAACATTTTTCTCAGGACCAAACCAGATGGTTCGCATAGACTTATTCTAAACTTAAAAATATTAAACAAAAATATTGAAACACATCATTTTAAGCTTGAAGATCAGAAAACTGTTGCTAATCTATTGTACAAAAATGCTTACATGGCAACTTTGGATCTTAAAAATGCTTACCTTTTAGTACCAATCAACAAAAAATATAAAAAATATCTACGATTTAAATTTAATGGGATGTTGTTCGAATATAATTGCATGCCTTTTGGGCTAAATTGTGCACCTTTAATTTTTACTAAACTTATGAAACCTGTAGTTGCTTACTTACGGAATCACAACTTTATTTCTATAATTTACTTAGACGACCTTCTTCTTTTGGGGAATTCCGTAGAAAATTGTAAGAAAAACGTAGAATTTACTATTCAAACGTTAGAAAAGCTAGGTTTCTTAATTAATTATGAAAAGAGCAAATTAACTCCTAACCAAAACTGTCGATACCTGGGATTTCTGTATGATACAACCAAATTATTAATTTCAATCCCCCAAGACAAGAAACCACACCTGTTCAAACTAATCAACCACTTCTTAAAAGTAAAAACTTGCAAAATTCGCGATTTTGCACACTTGTTAGGGAAACTCACTGCCTTGTGTCCAGCAGTTAGATACGGTTGGTTATATACTAAACGTTTAGAAAGACACAAGTATTTAGCACTAAAGAAGAATGGGGGAAACTATGAGAAACATTTAAGACTACCTCCTTCATTAAGCGAAGACCTCGTTTGGTGGGAAAACGCTATTTTAAATGCAACTAATCATATCGGGGTAGATAAATTTGCTTTAGAAATTTATTCAGATGCTTCTCAATCAGGCTGGGGAGTTTACTGCAATAGTAATAAATCACACGGATTCTGGTCAGCAAATGAAAAAGAAAAGCACATTAATTTTTTGGAATTACAAGCAGCATTCTTTGGACTTAAATGTTTTGCAAAAAACTTAACACGCTGCAACATTTTGCTTCGCATTGATAATACTACAGCCATCTCCTATATCAATCGAATGGGAGGCATTCAACATGAAAAATTGAACACACTGTGTCGTGAATTATGGCAGTGGTGTGAAAGTAGAGAGCTTTTTATATTGGCATCATACATAAGCTCTTCAGAAAATGTAGAAGCTGATAAGGAATCTCGACAATTGCATCAAGACACAGAATGGGAATTAAACTCAAATGAATACAATCTTATAACACTCAGATTTGGACACCCAGACATAGATCTTTTTGCCAGCAGATTAAATAATAAATGCACAACTTTTATTTCATGGCGCACTGATCCAGATGCATGGTGTGTAGATGCTTTTACAATATCCTGGAAAGGGCTACGATTTTATGCTTTTCCTCCTTTTTCTCTGATTCCACGCGTTTTACAAAAAATTATAAATGATGATGCAGAAGGAATTTTAGTTGTACCCCACTGGCCCACTCAGCCTTGGTACCCTTTATTTACATCACTGCTAAGCAAACTTCCAATTTACTTCAAACCTCATTATAACTTACTTCTCTCTGTTGACAGACAGAATCCGCATCCACTTTGGCCTCACCTTACCCTGGTTGCAGGACACTTATCCAACAAGCATTAAAGATAGAAAACATCCCCGAGGAAGCATTAAATATTTGCTTATCATCCATAACGTCCAGCACCATCAAACAATATAATTCAGGACTAAAGAACTGGTGGATTTTCTGTAATACAAAGAACATCAACATTTTTTATGCATCTGTACCCAACATACTAGACTTCTTAGCTAGCTGCTACAACAAAGGGGCATCATACGGTACCTTAAACACATACCGCTCCGCTATTGGACAACTTTTAGGATCAGACCTTACCAACGATGTCAGGATTAAACGTTTTTTCAAAGGCGTACAACATTTGAGACCAGATAAGCCAAAGTACGAAAATACATGGGATCCAACAATTCTTTTAAAGTACCTTAATTCACTAAACAATGCAGAGACTACAATAGAACAACTAACTTACAAATTAGCTACACTTCTGGCACTCACTACTGGACAGCGAACTCAAACACTGTCATTGATCGAAATCAACAATATTTGCTCAACCTCCACTGGATTAGAAATCAAAATTCCTAAAAGGATAAAAACTACAAGGAGAAACATGGTACAACCTACATTATCACTTCCATTTTACAACGAAAACCCAAATCTGTGCATAGCCAGCACAGTTTTGCTATATATTGAAAAAACAGGAGAAATTCGCCACCCAGACAAATGTAAAAAATTACTAATCACATTCAAAAAACCGTATAAGGATGCATCGTCACAAACTATAAGCAGATGGATAAAGAAGACAATGGGAAGGGCAGGAATCGACTCTACAGTATACACCGCTCATAGCACTAGACATGCTTCAACGTCACTAGCAAATCGCAAAGGGCTACCTTTGGATATAATACGTTCAGCAGCAGGTTGGTCCAACACGTCAAGAACATTCGCGAATTTTTACAACAGGCCAATACGAGATCCATATGCATTTGCACGGACAATATTAACCTCATAATCAAACTACTCTAAGGATATTTTCAAAATATTTATAATAGCTAAAGATGCATTTCCCTATGATAAAATATTATATAGTAATATTGTATGAATTAAAAGTTATCTACTTTAGTGAAGTTGCCCTAGTTAATCTCTAAACATCTACATATATTATTTACCGAAACGAGACCGATATATAATTATACGATCAAACGAACTCACCTGTGATGAAGTTCGATCGTAATTATATGAGGTCTCGTGGAGGTAAATAACACCCACCCTAAACCCAGGAAGCTAATATAGCTTCATATACCCTTAGGCCAACTCCACTAACTCTCAAAATATGAACAAACAAGTAACCGACACCTCCGACAATGAACGAGACTACCTGTTTTAAACTTTCAAATTTCGTGGCTATTCGGTACGGGATGGGGAAACTACATATATTATTTACCTCCACGAGACCTCATATAATTACGATCGAACTTCATCACAGGTGAGTTCGTTTGATCGTATAATAACACAATGCTATTTGCACCTTTGTAGTTGTAATAATACGAGCCAGCAGATATGGGTGCCCTAAAAGTGATGTGGCGACCATCAAGAGCTCCCACGCAATGAGGAAATTGCCATAATTGATCAAAATCTTGAGAAATTTTTTTCCATTCTTCTGCTGTTCTTGGTGCCTATACCAGGTTTCATATCGTAAAAATTGACAGTATAATATACGGACTATAACTTACTTTTAAATAGATTGGTTTTAATTTCAAGACTATGGCTTGGCACACTTCAGGTATAAAGCGGCTTATCGTAGTTTCATGTATCCTAGTGGTGTACATAAGGGATCGGTATGTCTCGCCTGTTGCTAGGAATCGCAAGGTAACTTCTAATCTAAAATGATAGCACAAGTGAGTGCCTATGATTAATTTTTTAATCACCTACTTGCTTCTGGAAGGGATGCATTCTCGCATTAGTGTATCTTGTTTGCATATTTCATTTGATATCAACGACAGCAAATATTCGAACTGATCGTTAGTTAATCTCAGAAAGTTTGTATATGCATTTGGATCCTCGGGTAAAAGTTCTGTATTTAGCATGTTTAAAACATCACGACCCTCGTTTCGCCTTTGCAGCCAGTTCCTGCTCCAAATTCGAGTACGTTTATTACGCCTTTTTGTTAGAAGACAAGACATAATGACAATGACACTTGCGGCAAGTGCCGAGCTAGCGATTAGATTTCGGTTCATTACAATTACCAGTAGTAGCACAATAGATAATAATATGAAATAATGAAAAATCAAAAAAGTAAATACTAGAAGAGGTTATGTTATTTTTGTTATTTATATGTGTAGGTGTACCACTACCAGATTTATTGACTTAAAAACCCATATTCCCAAGAAAAAAAATGCAAAGCGCAGACGCACTTACTAATTTTTATGATAAATTTTGTACAGTGTCAGACAATATAATTTTGTTAAATAAATTATGGAAGTAAATTTTTTATGATAAAATTCTATTCACAAATTTTACCAAAAATTTAGCATCGTGTCAGACGGCCTTAAAACTACAATTTTATTAACAAATTCAACTATTAAAAAATGAAAAATCAGTATAGTTTTTTTTACGTAAATGAAAAAAGAGATTCATATTTACCTTTTCCAGTACCATGTGTATTTGTTTCTTTCGCTTTCTCACGTCTGTACGACGATAAAACGCTTGTCATCTTTTTTTTTGCAAATTTCGCCCGTACTGGCGAGAGCGTCTCCAATTTCATTCCAGGTATCTACCTTTAAATGCGTTTTCTTATAATTTTCATTTCGGGGATTCCATATGTTTTCTTTTTCCCGATACAGTTGAATAAGGAGAAGCACTTTTTCCTCGTCCCAATCGTCCATCTTTCAAATGCGCGGATATATAGTTTGTACGAATGCACATGCACGATAAACGCCGTCCACACTGCAACTGAAATTTCCTTTGATGGCGCGCCAAAAACCGACAATGATCGGATCGCGAGCGAACACGTTTTGCAACAAGAGCTGCAACGTGCAACATCTGTCCACATTGGTTGCATTACATGTTGCATTACACGTTGCATTACACGTTGCAGCGTAGATGTGTACAAGGCATAAGAGTGCCATGTAAAACACGGTCGTTGGTCTTCTTGTACCCAAGAGTAGTTAAAAAGAAAGTCTTACACACGTTTACCATTTCACCACTTTCATTTTTCAGTGTGTACTTGAAGGTGTTTTGTTTTCGTTCACCTTCAACGGTGCGCCTTTTTACATCTAATCGACTGCAGGTGTTAAGAACTTTTCTGTCTCTGCTGAATAATTGCCAAAACTCACTATTTAAGTGTTTTCTGTGATTTTCAGAAATCAGCTGTAAACACTTAGTCACTCATTCGGTCTAATTTGTTTCTGAATGCCAATGTCAGAGGTTAGGTTGAAATTAGTAGGATCTAAGTGTGAGTTTGAAATTAGGAAGGACTCTGAATTTGGCTCTTACTTTTACAATTTTCTCCACATGCAGGCAATACGCGGTGCTTTTCGATTGTTTGTTTTGTTCCTTCAGCTAACGCCGCTTGCTTTACAAGTTTGTCTATTTTCCTTCTTTTTCTGGGGTTTCCACTTTTTGTATATCCAAGTGTTGTATGAAAGAGCAAGACGAGGTGGCAACAGAGCGGCAGTGTTGTGTTATCAAGATGTCAAGCAATGTTGTATCGTATGTCAAATAAAGTGTTTTAGTTCATCCGTTGTTTTCATTATAAGTGTCCAAACTAGAACATCATAAACAGGACATTCTGGCGACGAGGATCAAGGAATAAGACGGGGGTTACACGCTCAGTTTGGAATCAGTTCAGTCCATGACCTTGATCAGGAATTGACTGATCGCAAACTGATGGACTCCCTTCAATGGTTACATGATCATTCAGACGATATCAGTCTAATTGAGAACGGGCTAGAATAAACACATATTCCGTGTTAAAAACTATGGATATTCGTAAAAAAAAAGCTGCTATTGCAATAATAATTGCTGTGAGTGCAACAAAACGTCGCATTAGGAAACGGTGGACTAAAGAGTGGCTACTGAAAAGAGATCAGTATACGCATTTGAAGTTGTTGACTGAAATAAGAAACGCAGAAGAAGAGGAAGACTACGCAAATTATTTTCGAATGAAAGAGGCCTGCTTTGACGACTTGTTGGAAATGGTGAAGCCATATTTGACGAAAAAAGATACGATTATGAGGAAGGCGATAAGTGCGGAAGAGAGATTGGCTGTCACTTTAAGGTACCTTGCTACCGGTAGGAACATTCAAGATTTAAAATTCTCGGTTATAATGTCACCAGCTGCTATCAGTAAGGCAATAATGGACACATGTCAAGCGCTGCTTTATGTTCTTCAATCTTACATAAAGGTAAGTCTAATAAAAGACTACGCACATTTTTTACAGCATATACTTTTCTTACAAAACTTAAAAAACACAAACTCAAAAATGTCAAGTGGGTACAAAACGAGAAAAGTATCTCAACCAAAAAGTAACATAATGCAATTATTTACTAATTTCCTGTAAATTCAGTAAATAGTGAAATAAATTACATATTAATGACGTTAATGTTATTATTATTACTCCACGACCTTATATATTATCACTTATTATTATTACTATCTATTGCAAAAAGAAAAGAATGCAATTCTTACCTGAGGTTTCTCAAATTTGCCCAAAAAATGAAGATATTCAAACGTCCAACTTTTTGGGGTATATATATCATCCCCTCCAGCCCCTGACCTTCGCGATGATTCTATTTTTTTTAGTTCACGACGGTAATTTGATCTTAATGTATTTATCTTCTTTTTGACATCATCCAAGGTAACCTGAGGTTTTATTTTTTTATATATGACCAACAGCTTTTCCAGAGCTTCATTTCTCTTATATTTGTTAACGTAATCTTTGTCCGTTTTATCCCATAGGATTGGCATGGTTTCAAACGTTATAATAAAATCTTTCTCGACCTCCAACGGCTGCGTTTGCGAGTCGTCCACGTGCACCTCCATTGCTGACCGGAAGGTAACTGATTTGAGACTGATTTGTGCGCAATACACGATCAATCTGTCGTCAATCCTCGACAGACTGACAGTAATTATTAAAATATTTAAATATCGATCAGTCTGGTTTATCAGTCCATCAGTCAACGCATTACACGCGAAGTCTGACAACATTCTGATCACAATCACGGACTGAACTGATTCCAAACTGAGCGTGTAACCCCCGTCTAAGAAGAATCAAGGAACGTGAAATAAACTGTAAAGTTCATTACATTAGGAAGTCAGCCGGTATAGTCTTACCAGTCAAGAAAAGGCGTGTTGTTTTGTTCACGTTGACGAATTCCTTTGTGTCGTACCAGTTCAGTTTAGTCGTGGGAATAAAACGAAAATATGACAATATTGACTCAATTGAACAAATTGATTTAAATAAAGTCGATATTGAGTGTTATTTAGAAAGGATGGACCACTTATTTAAATGTAATAAGGTGCCAGACAACGAAAAAGTGGATTTATTTGTCACTCTCATCGGAAGCGAAGCTTACAAACTGTTAAAAATCGGAGCCAAACCTGCATCAGTCACCAGTAGATCTTAGGCTGCAGTCCCATTGATCAATCGTCAGCGATCAACGGCGATCAACCAAAAAGCAAGCGTAGGCGTACAAACGGGGTTGGTCCTACTGCTTCGTTCGTTAGAAACCAAGCAGCATCATTTGTCATCGACTTGTTTGATTTTAGTCTGTGAACGCATGTGACGTATTCACCGCCATCTTTAAATCAGCTGTTCACAACAAAACGTATCCTGTATCCAATTTTCAATCTCAAATTAAATTCTAAATTTGTATAAAAGTATTCTGCTGGTGTATATAATGTGTAGTGGTAATGGCAATGGTTCTTGGACGCCAGAAGAAATAGATACCTTAATAGGATTAGTGCAGGAACGGCCCGACATCTATGATCAGTCCCGTCCTGGATATTCTAATCTAACAGTTACTGATAAGTGCTGGTCTGAAATTAGTAGACATTTGCCGTCGAAAACTGGTCAGTTTTTACTGTAATTTATATTCATTTTATATATTTTTCTTTATACCTAGAAAAGCAATTAAAATCGAAGTGGCAAATTTTACGTGGAGGTTATAGGCAGAGGCGGAAGGATAACTGTGCTCCTTCTGGTTCAGGTACTACACCGTACAAAAAATGGGTGTACTTTGATTCCTTGAAATTTTTGGAGGCATACATATGCGAAAGAACAACTTCCTCTAACACTCCAAGGTCTGTACCAAAAATGTGTAATAACTAATAGGGTTTACTGTGATGAGATTATGTTTTAGTGTGGCGGAGTATCTTGAGAATGGCAATGTTGAAGTCGAACAAAGCAGTCAGGATTTTGGAGATGATAGTGTCGACGAAACCCTCAGCAACACTAGTGCTGCATCGCCCTGTAGTGAAACTCAGCAGCGTACGAGACGAACAAGTAAACGCCAATTAGATGAGGTTGATCGCTCGTTATGCAATTATTTAAATAAAAAGGCCACACAAAAAAAAGTAAGAAGTTCTGTTCAATGCTTCTTAGAAAGTTTGGAAGAAGATATGATGGAATTGAGCCCCCAGAATTTGAGAACGTTTAAAGTGGAAGTATTAAATTTATTGAATGCTAAATTACAGTCTAATTAAATAATAAATTACATTGTAACAAAATACAGGCTTTGTTTTGTAAACACAAACCTACAACTTTATACTCTAGTTTTACCCACACCAATAAATACTCAGTAATATTTAAATAGTATACCGGTGTGTACTATTACCATGGTTACACTCTTGTATTTTGCCAAGGTACTGCACCAGGTCCGTTAAAATAATTTGCAAAGTGTTCACGAACGTTTCTAGCTGACTGTGTAGAGGGATTGGTGGCATGTGAACATGAATTGCTTACAAATGCTCCATAATTACTTTTGTTCTGTGACTTACCCGCTCCTTCAATTCTTACAAAATTGTGTAGTACCACACCAGCTTGAATTACCTTGTCCACTTTTTCAGGAGATACAGCAATTGGGGTGTGAAATATTCTAAATTTAGCAGCCAATAACCCAGAGGTGCATTCTACTAACTGTCTAGCATATGACAGTCGATAATTAAATATTCTTTTCGCACGATCTAAATCTCGTTTGGGATATGGCTTCAATAAATGTTTTGTTAAACGAAAAGCTTCATCCCCAATAAATACATAGGGCATTAATTCGTTACTATTGTCAATAGGT